CTAGTAGGGGTAGGTTGGAGGCCATCGCTAGTAGGTAGGTTGGAGGCAACCGCTAGTATAGGTAGGGTTGGAGGCCATCGTTGGCAGGCTGGTTGGGGGGTTGGAGGCCATCGCTAGTAGGTAGGCATAGGTTGGAGGCCATCGCTAGTAGGTATAGGTTGGAGGCCATCTCTAGTATATCGGTTGGAGGCCATCGTTAGTAGGTAGGGGTTGGAGGTTATCGGTAGTAGGATGTAGTAGGTATAGGTTGGAGGCCATCGCTAGTAGGTGGGGAATGGAGGCCATCGCTAGTAGGTAGGGGTTGGAGGCCATCGCAAGTAGGTAGGGGTTGGAGGCCATCGCTAGAGTAGGTAGGCTGGAGGCCATTGCTAGAGTAGGTAGGTTGGAGGCCATCGCTAGAGTAGGTAGGTTGGAGGCCATCGCTAGTAGGTTGGAGGGCATCGCTATGCATTTTTCCTTCAGGCCAGGGTCGACTCATTGGAAGTAGAGTGCCACAGCCACAGCCACCACTGATTTTTCATCGAAAACGCCACCCACTCCTACCGCCAAACAGCGTTCTTGTCAGACCTCCCGGTCAGACCAAAGCGGACGATCCATAACGAAAAGCCGTCATAAACAGAATAGAATAGCTATGGATAGTGTTTGCAGGGTTTTGCCATGCTTTCCCATTCCACATCCCCTTCCAAAAAAGACCTCCGAAAGGTTTACTCTCCCTGAAACAATCATGGAAGTGGACAGTGGCCCCTTGGAAGACTACTTTCATCTACCAAGAGGGGGTTGTCCACTTCCATGATTGTTGCAGGGAGGGTACCCCCTCCTTGGACCAGCCGAGCTGCCAAGATCTTGGCCTTGGACCACGTCGCCAAGAAGTTCCGCGCGGACTTGTCGAAGGTCAAAGGGCGACTGGGATGAGAACTATGGCAAAAGCCGCACTCGGCGCCCTGAACAGCGACCACAAAGGCAGGCGCTTGTTGTGTACACGGGGAGCTTCTTCGGAATTGGTGGGTGCGGACGCGAGGACGTCAAGTGAATAACCAGTTTCACTCTGCCAGATTAATCGCCAGAAAACCCGAAAGACACTTCTACAGTAGTGGTGTTCACCCCACATGTCAAAACCATGAGCAAAAAATGCACCCCCCCGGTTCTATCCAGCACATCAATCAATGGAGTATTACTTTTTAATAGGTGTTATTTATTTCATCGTCTTTAGATGTCTTGGTTTGTGTTGTTTTTAACATAATTTCTTGTGTTGCTTTCTTGTGGCACTTGGAAGAAACCGTCTCTCACGGAGACTTGCATGGTTCAGACGTGTTGGATGTCTTGCTCGATTCTTCAAATACTATTCATCAATCATGAAGTCATGAAGCAAAACTAGCAAGTATATTTGATACGCTAGCACATTGGATTTTCGACAAGGGTTGGAACCCCCTTAATCAATGCACCACTACCATCCACTATACAATACCCCTTCTTTGTTTGATACTCTCTATTATATTATGTAATCTCTATGCCATTCTTGAATGTAATGTCTCGTTTGTCAGTTCAGTTTGGATTTCATATTCTTCTTCAGGCCTCAGCCCTCATGTCTCCCAGAATGACATATCATGACAATATTCCTGGATATTCATTAAACTGAACAGGGTTTCAATGACAAATGATGAAAGTAACGCCTGTGGGTCAAAACCATCCCTGGCGGAAGGTCTAACGGATCGTGGACCGAAAAAACCGCGACACGAACGGTGGAAGGTCTTCGTTCCAGACCGGCTCCAGGTGTCAGGCAAAATTGGTCTGATGATTCTTATAATTGGTGATTACGCAAACTGGACTGGATGGTATGCAGGACTGGGGTCTGATGGACTGATGATTCTATTCAGGTCAGTTGACATGAACCTTTTGGACTCTTGGACCTGCAGTTCGGGAGATGGACCTGTGTTCTTCGGCAGTTTCGGACGCTCCACTTCATCACCCTGGATGAAACTGCAGCTTTCAGAGGACACCTCGGTGTAACAAAGAAAAACGATGTCTTTGCTTCGAAGGCTTCAAAAGACTGCTGTTCAGCAGAACGGAAGCTCAAGACCATCCTTGGCTCATCCGCGCCATCCCATCCCCCAACCAAAACCAGCCCACGTCCTGTTCACAGGATCCGCGAGCGAACTTGATGCAAGGTCTGCGGCAAACATGTGGGTGCCCATAGCTTCCCTCGGAACCTGGCGAAAGAAACCGGGATTTCGGCATCGCTCCGCGATGCGCGTGTCGAGGATCCAACCAGCAGAATCTCTCTCGGACCATCATGGAGCAAGTCTTCGCAAATTCAACGAGAAGATCATATAATTGGTTTATAAGTTATAAAATGTTACAAGGATTATCAAGGCATTTTCAGAGATGCAAGTCCCCCCAAAGAAAAACGCTTCAGCATCCATTTCAGACCTCAAATCTCGGGGAGACGTTTCAGCCTGAGGTGGATGGCTTCGTGGTACTGGACGTCCCAAGGTGCGCTGCTCGCTGCCACAACTGGGACACCTCCGGCCGTGGCCGAGGATGGAGACGAAGGTCCACAACGGCTGTGCTCTGAGATGGATTTCCGGCGTCCGGGGGCCCGGGGGTTCTCGATTTTTCAGCCCGGCACCTGCACGTGGCATCGCCATTCCTCATACTTCTGGCAGGAGGGGCGTTCGGGAGGTGGGCAACTGCTGCCTCGTTTTCCTTCGACGGACCACATGTCCGTCGGGGTTTCCACATCGATGAAGGTGCGATGATAGCGCAGCGCCATGTTTTGGGTGGGAAAACCCAAGGTGCTGGGCTTTGACAGGCAATACTTGCCTTGCGATGCCGACATAGAGCCGAAATCGCTACGGCAAGCGGCATGCATCTGACCAGTTCATGAAAAAAAAGCGACTGGCACGGCATGAGCCCAACTGACTGGTCGTTTCGTTGAACATTAAGAGAGGTTCCCAAACAGTCTATGGAAAATGGTGTACTGAATGCCTACAGTAAGACTTCTGGACTGTATGTGGGGCGAAAGCTAGGGATTCATTCCATCAATATGCTGTGTGCGATTGCAAAAAGCGATGGCTTTCTTTATACTGTATGTTCGATGCCCCAATTGTGGGGTCCCTTCTCATTGACCAGACATCCCCAAAACTCAGTGAATCTTGAGTTTGAATCAGAATGTGTCTCGTAAGAAGAATGCTATTATCGCGAACAAATGCTTTTGCTCTCGTGAGACGACTCTTATTCCAAAGATCTTCCAGCCAGGAGTTTCAGTGATTCGGGGTGGGAGAATCTTAGGCCCATCCGAGAAGTGGAGCAGTTTCACTGCCAAAACAACATGAGCCATCCAACCATCGCTGGAACATCTCAATCTGATCTCTGCAAGGTCCCACCAACTCAAAACAATCAAACTTCTTGATGTCCAAACCACCCATAAATCGTATACATTTGTGTACGCATGTGTACGCAACAATCTCTCTCTGTCTCTCTCCTTCGCTCTCTCCCTCTTCCTCTCTCTCTCCCTCTCTCTCTCTCTCTCTCTCCCTCTCTCTCTCTGCCTCCGTCACTTGTGACGATTTCGATTTCGCGGTGGCCGAGAGCCGACGCCCGAGAGCCGACACCTCCTGGAAGCGCATCCAAATACGCTTCTTGCTCTCTGAGACCTGACAGGTGGAGATCATAGAATCTCGTGGAACACTCTCAAAGAATAGAACAATGAAGGTGTTCAAAACCATGCAATCTTGGAGACCAAAAAGTCACCGGTGGCTGGGGCGGATAGACCCGAGAGTCCCAAGTTCCAGAAGCATCCGCAGCTTGAAGCGGCAGTCGGGAGAGGGAGAACTGTCTCACCATCGGGGGCCTTATGAGTCTGGTGTTTTTGCTGGCGCAGGAAGGTCACCAAAGGATGAAAGGGCCAGGGTCCAAAGTTCTGGTTGTGAGGTGACCAGGATGAACTGGGTGCAGCGGATGGAGCTGTGTCACTGAAGGCGGAATCGGCTTCCTAACTTCTGGGGAGTTGGCCTGCAGGGTTCAAGTTGTAAAGAACCTGTGCCTGAAGATCTAACAGGAGCGGACATAACAAGCAAATCATAATCAATGTGTTTGGAAATGCAGTTGATCCGTCAGTGAAGCCATGCAGAACCAAATCCATTCAGTTCATGGGGGTTGAACCCCTCACCACCGAAAAATATGGCTGGCCCTGAATGAACACCTCCAGCTTCTTCAGTCGAAACCTGGGGTGCCTGTGGCAGGACTGTGATGAAATCTGTTTCACCCGGTGATCAACTCGTCGACGAGTCCCCAAAAAAGCCTTCTGTTGTGTCATGGCATTATGGTTCACCTGTTTAGAGATCAGGCAACCATCCAAACACACACCCAACTTGGGCCCATGTGGTCTTTTCACACGTGCATAAACTTGCATCAACCATTACAAAAAAGAACTATAGCCCTGAAGATCTTTCTCAAAGAACAACAAGTCCCACGAACGAAAACTCCATCTGCTCCACCCGCCTCAATAGCGCCCGGTGGGGGATAAGCACCGCCCAACGTGGCCGTGGGCAAAATGGGTGGCCAATGGAGCTCGTCCCCCTCGCGCCATTGGCACTTCAATCGCCATTCCTAGGAAGAGTCGACGAGTGGTGCTGCTAGCACTGTTTTGTTCGGATGTTGGGGGAACACTTAGATTTGCTATGATTTGCTTAACGAACTGCCCTAAGCAACATGGCACAAAACTCCCCACGTCTTGGGGATTTATGTTTGGATTGAACCATAGGAACATTTAAACATCTTAAGTTTAAGCAAAACCAGGAAAAGGGAATCTTGGAATCCGCGGAGAAGGTGTGGAAATGGGGGAGAAAGCTCTGCATGATGCATCTTCAGTTGGAAACACCTTTTTGGGTTGTGCATCAAAACGATGACAAAGGATCACATGAGAGTTGAGAGATTCAACAATTACTAACAGTGGCATCTCGTCTCAAAGTGAAATGACTAATTTGCTTAAGGAACTTCTGGTGAAAAGTTCGCAATAAATTCATGACACATGACACGAATCATCACAAATCAATGAAGACATCAAACAAATCAATCATGTATACTGCTCAAAGTAATTGTGAAATTAGTGGGAGCATCACCCAAATGCGAGCAGCTTGCAACTTCACCAACAGTCAGTTTGTCGGCATGTTCACAATCCACAATCAACCCTGTTGTTATCTTTTGTTCCTTCTGGGAGGACTAACTAGCCCAGCTTGCCAGGCTTCGCGGCTTCATTCGCCGGTTTGAATCTGGCTAGGAAAGTCCAATCCTAAACCATGGCCATCAATGCAATCGGCCTCGCTCTACAACGATATAGAAGTCACCTCGACCTCGCCGGGCCTGCCCTGGTCGTTTCGGGCTTCGTCCCTTGGTCCTAAGGGGTTGAACCGGTTTGGAGTCCTCTTCTGGGTCGGACCAGTCAGTCTGCACGCCAGGACATCGAGCCCAATTCACTCATCTCCCATGCGAGCCCGGAAGGCGCCGCTTTCAGGCTGTGGAAAGAACTGTTTTCGGCAGAACTGCTTTCTGCTACGGAGGGTCCAATATGCCAAGGATTCTTCATTCTGTTTTGGAGCAAGGGCGCTTTTAAGTCCAGGGACGGCCACTGGCAGCGGTGGGGTGGTAAAAAGGCTTCAGCGGCAAGTATCTCTGTTCATCAGTTCAAAACTCCCACACATTCCCTTGCTGCCTAAGTGCCACGTTTACGCAAAACCACTGCGGTCAAACCAACCAGTCCTGAGGAATCCCATTGTTTTGTAGTTTCATCCGTGACACATACACTCTTGGGATCTCCGCATGCAGCTATCTCACCCGGCCCAACCTGGCCCTCTCGCCCCAACCCCGGCCCATCTACAGCTCAGTGGCCAAGCCATGATACCATGTGTGGCCCCAAGTACCAACCAGAAGCAAAGCCATCGAGCCGATTCTCTGAAGAAGTTTAGCCATTGCATCTGCCTGAGGAGACCAAACACCACGAGGGAGAAAAACACAGAAACATGATCACGTTCTCAACCATCGGTTTTGTCGTGAGCCGACACCCAACGGGTCACAAGCATCGGACCAGCTCAGGACATGGCGATGTTAGATCTTCCTCACTACGGAAGACTGATTCTCCATGTCTCGTCGGCTCGCCTTGGCTTGCAGCGTCTGGCTCGATTTCTTCAACTCCTCGAGCTCATAGGAGACCTTCCTGCGAACCGAAGCTGGACCGATGCATGCGCAACCGCACCCAGGACTTCCTGCGCTGGGAGAGCGCACCTTCGTTGACGTGAGCTGCACAGTGCACAGCTACGCGCACTGTGCACAGGTACCTTCTGGGAAGACATCGCCCCAGAAAACACACCGAGTGGCCTCTTAGAAAGGCGTCCCTTGCATTCAGCTCCGCATTGATTCCGGTATTCCAGCACCCCAACAGGAGTCATGGCAGCTCCACGTGCCAATCTAACCATTCTGCACCGAGTGGACCAAACCCCACATCGTCCTCCAGCCTCTCTTCACCTCTGTTTCTCCAACCTCTCCCATACTGTCCATCAAATCTCCGATGGGTTCAACCGGTTCAACCCCAAAAAACACCTTTCCAACACCCTTCTTCCAACACTCTCAAACCTTCAGCCCCTTCCCATCCTCCTCCCTCCCCCCAAAAAGACATGCCAAATCATGCGCCCGAACCTGCCCAAACCGGCACCACCTTCACGCCACGCGCCGTCTTCGTGGCCTTCGGGTGACCCGACCTCTCTCTAGTTCCCGGTCTGACCGAGGTGCCAGGTGACGCCCTGCGCCATGCGAATCACGTCGAAGGAGGCGTTGGCCGTGGAGGCGCCCGACAGGTGATCGATCTCCTGGCGCGGTCGGGAAAGCCCAGGCGTTGGTCGTGGCGCCGAGCCAGGCCACGAAGATGAGCAGCGGCGGAAGTTCGGCATGTTTGCTGATGGAATTTGGGTGTTTTGGTTGGGAGGACACAGAACACCCTGTTCATACATCTATATGGCACTTCTATGCCATTCTACTGGAGATGCTTGGGTGGAGCAATCAATGTGGCTGGAGCAAAATCTACCAGGATCATCCAATGGGTGTCCAAGGGAGGTCCAAAGACGTGGTGCAGGGTCGTTTGGTGATCCATTGGAATGATCCAGGTATTGGATCTTGTGGGAAATCTACATCTATATGCACTCATTCTCCTACCTTTTCAACCAAATGTATATATTATATATTATATATTTATATTACATTAGTATGTCGTCAGGTGGCTTCTACTGTCCCTGCAAGCCGTCGAAAAACACCTTTGCCAGCGCTTTTGAAGGAAAGACCAAGTGAGACCACAACATGGGCAGGCGTCTCACCTGGTCATCGTTTTTCCGTGTCCGGATGTCCGCCGGCGCCAGCCGCCGTTGCTCCGCCGGCGACCCAGTTGGATGAAAGACCGACCCAGTTGTTCTAAAGAAAGGCGCTATAGGAGGCAGCCCCTTGCATTGAGGCAGACTCATGCCTCCTCAAATTCTCTTGTCCAAATAGAGGCAGCTACAGCCCGCGAGATGGGAGAAAAGGCATACCCCATCTCATGACATACTCCTCTACTTCGGCTCACAGTGCTCCTCTGGTTCCGACTTTCTTCGAACGCAGCTGTATGTGCACTGCACCACCACTGAACTGCAGGATGAATCGGTGCTCTGCTTTGATCGACCCGGCTGGGGGATTGGGTGTCTGGAGAGCAGGAAGCTCTTGGTCTGGAGACGACCGATCACTCGTTTGGGCACAAACATGCCTACATGCCTCAGACTGAGCAGGTATTTTCATCTGCAGTGTTTTCCAGTACAGTGTGGAAAAAGAACTGCCCAAACGCATGGTGGCCCGACATGGCGCAACCATGGCCGAAACCACCGACGAAACAACTTGGCCGCACATGGTCTTTGGAAGGCCTAGGAGAACCATCTGCATGCGCCAAGGGCGCATTCTTCGGCTCTGAATTAGGAAAGGAAGGGTGACACTCCGAACACATCACATGGAAATGGAGCTCACCACCGGTTGTTTGGATTTCGGAAAAGAGCTTTTGCCCAGGGCCATGCCAGCCGTGCCATCCACTTCCATGTGATGTGTTGAGAGTGTAGCCTCCGTATACCTCCGTCTGTTCTTGATTTGTGGGGGTGTCCACAAACGGGCTCCCTAGACCAAAGGCCGTGGAAGAATTGCAGGTTAAGGTGTCCACAATACCCCCCCCAGTCAGGTCAAGACCTGGCTAGACCAGGCCGGGGGCTCATTCCCTTATTCCCTACGAGTCGCACCAGTCAGGTCTTCTTTGCAGCAGGTGATCGACTTTCTGATGGGACCTGATGGGATCCCCTTAGTCACTGGTAGGACCATGTGACCGTCACCGTGCAAAGGCCGAAACACGAAGCGTGTTTAACGGAAAATGACCGGTGGAAGATGGTGCAAGGCAGTGCACTTCACCAGAACCATTTATACACATCCTTACACCATGCAGTTCTGTTGGACTTTTGATGATTTTTCCGCCTCGCCCCAGGCAGGTCCCACTGGGACCTCCAAGTCGCCCTGCACCAGTTCGCACAAGCTCGCGCCCGCAACGCGGCGCGGCGCGCTCCTGCAGATTCTGCAGCTTCTGCGGCAAGAGCCGCGCACCACTGGAGAGCTCCGAGGCCCACTGCCTCGGACGGGACGAGTCGACAACTAGCCCGTCGACGCCGGCTTGACTGACGACCAAGTCGTGATTCTTGTTTCTGTTCCTGAGTAACAAAAAATAACAAAAATGATCTCACAATATTTCATCGAGATATTGTTTTCTATTTGTTTGTCAAGTGTCTTCAATATCTTCAATTGGAAGGTCAAATCGCCGACAATAATGTCAAATGCCAGTGGTCAGAAGCAGCCAAAGTCCCGCACCATCCGGTACCTAAAGCCTTGCCAAGCCTCAAATGGATGCAGTATGATGATACAGTACAGTAGCGAGTGGAACGGTTCCATCTGACATTGAGTAATGAGTAATCCATGTTTCTCACCCTTCACCCAAACCGGTGTCTCTCAAGATTCAAACCCGAATCTGGCCCTGGCGTACTTGATTCCAGGCTTTGAGGTAACAGCGTCAAAGGTCTCTGGCTGGGACGTCAATCTTTGAAGAAGCTGGCGGTTCACTTCTGTGTGTGTGTGTGTTGTTTTTTTAGTTTGTCGTGTTTTTATGTGTTTGTTTTTTGATGTTTTTTGCAATATTGCCAGTGTTTCATATATCTTCGCCCCCGCCGCTGACCTTCTTTCACCCAGAGCACCTCTCAAAACGTACACTCGGCTCCATGGCGACCTCCCAAACTGCTTCTCCCAGGCTCCCTCCGAAATACGAAGCTGAGAAGCTGATGCAGCAGCTCGGCCTTCTGTGATAGGTCCATAGCGCCCTGCTTCAACTCCTCCAGACGTTGCTTCGCCTGAACCGAACGAGGCAAACGAGGCCAACGACGGAAACAAACAGGGCAGAGATCCCAGGTGGAATACCTAGATCTTCAGTCCGGCACTTTTACAGGGTCCGGTGCCGGACTTCGAACTCCGGCGTTTTTCTAGCCTAAAGGAGGATCCAGGTATATGTTGGAACAAGGGCTGTAGCTCTGCGAATTGACTTGACGAACGAGAACGATTTCATGATGCGACTTGACTGAAGATGTACTTCTGCTCGTTGGTGGTGTCATGAAGAAGTCTATAGCCATCATCAGTCAGTCTACCTGGTGTGTATCCTTCCAAAGACCCCCTGGAAGAAACAAACAATAACCCACCACGAAAAACCAAGCACCACAGTGAGTTCCCAGTCTGGTGTACGATGTCAGTTCCGACCTCTTCGTCGGTCCAGAATCGACGTCTTCAACATAGGCAAGATGCGGATCGACTGCCTCAACAAAAAGACTGCCTATAAACAGTTTAGTTTTTCCTGGTGGGATTCCCATAGTGTTCAAGGAATGAACGTGTTCAAGTACTCCTATAGTCTGTAGTCTAGTCTATAGTTTCAAGATGTTTCAAGTACTGAACTCATTTGAATCCTGTCAACAGGATTAAGATGATCAGTTCAGTACTTCCATTCCAAAGTGACTGTCCGCTGGTGCGGTCTGCCTCTTGCACCGTGAAGGGGATGACGGTGGTGGAGGTGGTGGTGTTGAGTCCAGCTGCAAAGGGAGCTGCACCAAAGAGTGGGTACCTGATTGATCGCGAGCCGCACTCCGTAATTGTTGGACCCATTTCAAAACTCACCACCAAGTGCTGGGGAGAAAACAGTTCCGAGTGCAGAAATGTCCAGAACTAGACATGGTCAACCATGCAAAAGCCCAAACGGGGGACTGAAAAGCCTGGAGGAAGATGTTCAGACGGTCCTTTAAGGCCGAGGTCCACAGCCCAGCTTGAGAGTATAGAGACGAAACAAAAGAAGAGGGATGCACAAATGGAGGGAATGCAAATAACTAGCTAGGATTGCAGGTTCTTCCCCTGTGTTTCTTGCTTCTCTCGGGAGCTTCCGGATTTGGAGCACCGGCGCATACCAGCTCACAATCAGAGCGGCTTTTAGTGGAAAGATCTCAAATGTGCAAAGACCGAGATGGGTTAGGGCCCCTTGGTTTTCAATCTTGAGGGATTTCAAAACCTCTTCACCAAACACGACCCCACCAACAAAGAACATGCATAAGTGTGCGTACAAGTCCACGTGGTCTACTTTGCGGTGCAGGGTTGCCTCTTTAGAGCCATACCCTCATACCTCTATATCTTATAGCTCGACTCATCTGGTACTTTTGATGAACTTGTCCCCCTTAGATCGACATGTAGTTCGACGAACCAAGGAAAACACAAGCTGATACTGTACCCAACATTGGGTCGGATGGGTCCTGCCATTCTCATGTTCTTCTCGATCCTTCCTTCTGCTGTGGAGCGTTAAAGCACTCACGCCAAGACACATTAAGGCCCTCCAAACTGAAGCGTTCGCAGGAATCAGATCCACAACGCCCTCAGTTGATGAGTGTACAAGATCTCATCAAGATCTCAGCCCTTGAGTGGGCACACCCAACTTCTTGATCAAATAACACTGGTTTGCAAAGACGCATCGCCAAATTAAAGAATCACCTATTTATCCTGAAAGGCCATGTCAACATATGTCAACCTGCCAACGTGCCTGCGTTTTTGCGACCTTGCAGTGGTCAGGTGCAAAGCCGGCAACGAGTTCAAACCGTTTTTTTCTTACGAGTCGCAGTGTAGATGAGCTCGATGTCAACCAACCTCTGCCCGGCCTGCGAGGGGCTGGGGGCTCTTCACCGGCAGCTCTTGTGCACTGTTTGAATATTTTGGAATTGGGGCAGGGAAAGGATAAGGAGCAACAAAAACTCTGCTCAGGAACAACAACTGGTATATCTTAATAACGTTGAATATCTAAAAAATTGGTTGGAACATTGCAAAAACTGGTTGGAACATTGCAATTGACTCATTGACGCTTCCTAGTCGCCAGCTTGGTTCTCAATGGATATATTGTTTGGGCAACAAATCGGTAAGTACTAAGTGCAAATATCTCCTGACCTTGAACGAAGAATGGGCAGCTTTTTCACCCAAGCACGATAAACACATTACAAAGCTGTTTGTCTGGTGAGCTAAAGACACTGGCTTGGCTTGTAATTAGGGAAACATGATCTTTTCGGCAGCTGTGTTTTAAAAGGCATGCAGCATGCATAATTCATAATCATTATTAATAATATATATATATATGTACCCCACAGCACCACGCCAACACTGGGGCCAACTCTTGCTGACCAACCCACTTCCGCGCCTCCGTCACGGAGTAGGCAGCTCCCAGCGCTGCCACCTCCGCACTGTTGGCGGAATGGAGCAGCGGAAGGGGCCTGAAGGCTGGCCGGGGGGTGGGAGGTCTTCACTGCGAGCCGAGTGGATGAGTTGTCAAGCGATTGGACATGATGAAGCAAAGAGGTGGATGACATTGACCAAGACCACAGAAGATGTGAATTGAATAGGCCAGTGTCGCCATGAGCCACACTGTTGTCAGGCGAAAGACTATATATATGTATTATATTAATATATAATATATCCTTGTGCAGTGGTGGATTGAAAGTGGGACAAGTCAAAACATTTACCCATCTGTGAAGTGGCGTGTGGACCATATTCTATTCGTGAGTAGAACCAGGATGATGTCTGAATGATCCTCATGTGGAAGAACACAACACACACACAAAAACGAAAACAATGCGCTTAGATCCATGCAGATCCCATACTGGTCCCAGGCAGATACAGTACCCAAAACCCCTGGAGTCGACATTTGCTTGTTCCCCGCGAGGTTCCATGGTGAAACGGAGCTTCGGTGGCACTGGCACCCCAAGATGTCTTAGAGTCTTAGAGATGGGGTCCGTTACCAGGGCCCCCAAACAGTGGGGTGGTCAATGGATACCCAGAATCATCTCTAAGGAGCCGTAAGACACTCCGAAACCGAGGGGCCCTGGTACTAAGCCACCAAACTTGGGGATTGTATCTCCACAGAGTCCAGGCCTCTGTCCATCTATGTCCATCTCCACAGAGCCTATCCGATACTCACTGCGGACCCATCCGAAACCACCGGATGTGTTCGAGTTCAGCCAGCCATGATTGAGTCGATCCACCAAACAGCAACATCTCCTGCAACAAACACAACACACTGCCCATTGTTGCCCTCATTGCCCATGTCCATCGGTTCCACGTCTTTGCCACTCAGGGACACCAAAGCTCTTTGCCCCACTGGCAAACCCAACTGAAGCGCCTGCGAGGCTGTGCAAGCGACACCATCCGCGAGTCTTCTGAAAAACCAGAAACACATGAGGCTTCTCAGCTCTGAAGTCGAGGGGCCAAGACTACCGCCGTTTGGACAAAGAGTCAATGTTGTTTTGGGTAAGGAGCTCTTTACTGATTCAGAGGACCTGTCCAGCGCGGTGTGCCTTCTCTTCTAGGAGTCTACAGGTGCTTTGGTCATATCCAGCCAAAACACCTTTCAGCAACCATGAGTCACCCAACAGAAAACACATCAAACGTCAGAAGAACCGTTCCATGTCGACGGAACCTACACCGCGCTCGACGGAACCGACGCGAACGGCGGAATCCACGGTCCCCTGGCACCTTGGCGGTCTCACACGTGAACCAGGTGCCTCACTCAGAGTTTGCAAATGCATTTCGAGACTTCGGAGCTGATCGACGCTGAGGAAACGCTTTAGAAAGAACATATATAAGGAAACTGTAGACCCAATCACTCTAAGCCTATACCCTGGGAGTCCAAAATCAATTAAAATCGTCTTCAAGTGATCCAAAAAAAGGAACAAGCTTTACTTGGTTTGTGCCAAAAACATCCAAAAAGTGGTCTTTTGACTTCTAAGGATTAACCTGGCTGGCTTCTGAAACTGACCCGCTGGGGCGAGTCGGATAAACCTGTGGCGAACCAGGCCACCGGTCCCAAGGTCGGGAAAAGCCGAGCCACTTGGTCCAGTGATCGGCGAATCCCATGAGTCACCCATGTTCCCTTCCAAATAGGAATTCCTTCAAGCGAGTCCTTGCTTCTAACATCAACGTTTGTGTGTCCAAGAGTGTCCGACATGCTCAAGAGCACCATTCTCGATATGCTCAACTGGGAGTCGAATGATATCATTTGATCTACCTGGGAGTCATCATCCAACACTAACATCCTGGTTCTTCAAAGTGAGGTCACTTAAGCCTCCTAAGGGTCACTTAGGAACCTTCAAAAGGTCACTTTGAAGATCTGGATATAGTGGTCCCCAAATCGATAGAAACGGCTTCCAATACATTCTTAATATCATGCGCTAGTGGAGATCTAACCTTCTATTTGGGGGGTCTAGAGGATCTCGGGTCCATGACCAGAGGTAGAATGAGTCTCCCAGTTCTGCTCGTGGTGGCCGCCAGACCGCCCCCTAAGGGAGGAAGCGGGACCAAGGCGGTTCGGTGGACCACTGGGTGCCGCTGCTGGCGGCGTTGCTGCTGGCGCAAGTGCTACTCATGAGAGCAAAGGCATCCTGGGAGGGTTTTTGGATGGGATGTGGCATGTGGATGTGTCCGAACATGTTTTGTTGACCCTATAGGCTGTAGGATCTGATGTGCTTTTGAGAGGTTGAAAGAGACACTACTCACTACTCCATTTCCAGGCTTAGAAAAACATGCTTCAGCCTTGAATCCAGTGGAGATGGTCAATGAACACTGGATCGGATCCATATAGGGTGTGTCTTAGAATAGGAAGACCTCCCAGGCGTTCCAACCCCCTTGCAGGTTTGGGAAATAGACCAGTCTACCCAGCCGAGTCAGGGCCCAGGGCGCGGGGGATCCTGGAAGTGTCTCCCTAGGGTCTCTCAACAGTGGTGAAGTCACTTCCCTCAAGCTTTAGCTGGAACGACCTACACAGAGCTTGCGACCTGGAACCGCCTCAGATTGATGCGAATCAAATTACCATACCTTATGGGGTGCTGGGGCCTCTTTAACTGTTGGGCCCCAGCCCCTTCTGGACGCTATTTATAAAAGCGCTATTTATGGAGAGCCTGACGCTATTTATAAAACAAAACAAACAGGTGCAACTTTGAGTCCTTTGAGGTGTCATAAACTGGAACTCTTGACACCACCTCATGTACAATGGCTGCATCTCGCAAAATCAGATATTCGATCAATTGAACTGGTGATTGGCACAGGATCTCGGCGCCGTCGACTGCCACTCGGAACAAACGTAATCGGTTCTATTTTGAAAATATGTTCAGTCCAGAACCTTGGCAAACTTTTCACGTCCGATTTTTTCGTCTGTCTGAGACGGGCTTCCAATACGTGAAACATATGAACCCCACGAGCTTCTAGCAGCCAGGGGTCTGCATTCCACAAGGAAGTTCGGAAGAAGAAACAGAAGTTTGATCAAGAACGCTTTGGGTCACTTGAGTCTATACTTATTTTAGTTTTGCAAGCGAATCAAGGCCGCCTCCTGTCTCCGGTTAAGCGTTTTTCCATCCCGTTCCTCCCATTGGCCCGAGGAGATCTCTTCGCTGGCCCGGTCGAGCGCTTCCTGGAGCACTGCGGAGACCGGAGCGCAGTCCGCTGGGGCCAACGGATGAACGTGCTATTCTATTCCACGAGCATGTCGAGGTGTCTGATGGCTCATACATTCCGCTTGGGTCCTAATTTGAGATCGACAAACATGGTGCAACATTCCTTAACAGGGTGCTTCGTCCCCAACAGTGACACGTGACGAAGTCCACCGTGTGGCTTCGACCCTTCCCGCCTCGTAGCAAGTGGTTTTAGAACAGAAATGGCTGGGATCCTACCTGAACCGTCCTGCGTGGGTGTCCAATTGGAGATCCCTAAGTAGTGCAGGGTAGTCCGGACACTCAAATGGTCGGATGGTCGTTGCTGCTGTAGTTGCAGTGCTCAGAACTATGCCGACGTCACGGGATGAAACACGTGTTTTGTTGTTTTAGGAGTTAAAAGGCAGGGATGCTGCGGAAAAAAGAAACACGGCAAAATCAGACATGCATCAATTCATAAAACAATTATAATTCGCATCAAGAACAGGCCTCAAGTTGTGAGCCTGCAAGATTGCAGCTGGCCGAAGTCATTTCTCGGTCAGCTAGGGGTCATAACAGGGGGACCGGGGCAAGTTCAATCAAAGGTGTTTGCCGTCCTCCGTCCGCAGCTTTTTTATGCTGCTCAAAACTCCTCCGCCGTGCTCCAACGGCAACGCCACTGTCTCGGGTGCTCCTGGACCACTGTCTCCTCACCATCCAGGCTGAAGTCCTGAGATCGAACACTTTGAGACGTCGGACGTGCAGGGCTCCATGGCTCGGCATCCCCTCAAAAGCAACCAAAGCCCTATGGATCCGCATACCCAACCCCATAATAAGGATGTCTTGAGGAGATGATCGTTTGCCTTGGAAGAGGAGGTCGAACTGGGTCTCCCTACTTCAACACACACCCAGGCTGCTGTAGAGCAAAACAACCGAATTGTGGATCCCCGCGCCGGGACCCTCGAAAGCACCTCAGAAAATCAAATTAATAAAAATGGATGAACATGCGACATGACCCCATAAAACATCATGTGCAAGCAGTTCTGTTTGGGGCACCCCATGGGCACCCTCCTTGGTGCTGGGTTCGTGGCAACAGTGGGTCCTCAGAGTCAGCGAAGAGAGGCGAGGTGGAGACGGCGCTGCAACAGCTCCTGTGGAGAGGTGATCTGAGTGCTTCCAAGGCAGCCAGCTAGGGGCGTACGGGGGCACACTTCAGACACCACTGTGGTGTCCGGCAAATATGAGTCATTGACCAAATCTGTGTGGTTATAGGAACCTATTGGGCTTGGAGGATAGACAGGAGCCCTATGGTTGGAACCGCCCAAGAGCGTGGTCATGCGAGCGGGAAAGCCCCCCCGGCTTAGCCCCAACCAGCAGGAACCAGCAGGGCCAACCCACATCGATTTGGGTCCAAACAACCCGAATCGTGTGCTCCGTGTGTTCGAACGGTTGGGAGGAACCCCCCAACACATCCTCCGAAAGTTCGGTGACTTGCAGGTGATCCACTTTTCACTCTGCCATGGTCCCATAGGTCATTTTTGGAGGAGAACCCCCGAGAGGTCCCCAAGACAGGGAAATAGAGCAAACGCCAGGCAATCAGGGGTCTCCCTGTTTGAAGAGACACCCAATATGTCTTTCAGTCTAGACAGACGTTACCTAGAAACTACACCCGAACCACATGGTCGTGGTATTTCAGGTGTGCGATATGTGTGACATGATACCCGAAAGCTGAGAAATACTTGGCTTTCTCTTCATGATGGTCAGGGGTGGCCAATTAGGGGTCCTCTTGTTTGCTTCGCCACCTCCTTCGCCTGAGAACTGAAGCCCCAAACCGACCTGGGTCGAGTCTCGGAGGTTCCCTCTGAAGAGTCTTGGAGTGTTCAGTCTTGGATCTCAACAAACCATGGCCCACGGGGTTCTCCAATCGAAAACATCTCTTTGCTCCCTGCCCTGGGCCAATTCTCCGCCCCTAAGCCCCCTAGCCCTGCGGCGTCGTAGAAGAACACGCGCAAGAAATAACCCGAAGCCTGAACAGACCGCAAGATCTGGGGGATGATATCACCCTGGTCTTTATGCTGACTTTGCAAACTCCATGGGGTTGCATCAACAGTACGCACAAAGCATACATAAGCAATGGGTGTGGAAGAGCAATCTGGTCAAATGCCGAATCAGCAAACCACTTGATAGTTTTTCCAAGCACTTCTACCTGGAGGCGTTTGGTGCAAATTTAGAACCCTGTGCCCTGAATCGAAATGACTCTTAGTCAATTAGCAGGAACATGATAGGGGGTCGTACAACACTTCATGCTATGCATGTTCATGCTATGCATGTGTCACGCCCTTACAATCTCATGTGTCCGCCCTTCCTCAACACGAGTCCCACAACCCTCAAGCCCCATGCTCTAAGGAATGCGGAGGGGTGGCATCCATGGACCAAGACGAAAACCAGGTCTTCAAAAAACCACTCGTTGAGGACCGAGGAGTCCGAAAGAAACATCTCCGTGCTTGGACCTGCTTTTAACACAGTGTCCTCCCTGGAATCTCCTCCTAAGTGTCCCTTTTGACAAGTCATACAATTACAAGCATAGCACAAGTGAAACAGGATCACATCTCATAAATAAATAAATAAAGAAAGAAAGACATATATTATATATTATATATATACACACACACTCCCTGGAACAATCACGGTTACGTGGATGGCATGGAATACGAAGACTCGGAAGACTTGAGATTGACCAACGATGCCCCTGTTGAAAGACCCGCTGATGAGTCCCACGGCACGGGACGGCGGGATGGAGCGGGTCAGAAGCAGAAGCAGCTCTGCTTTGGATCATCTCAGCATTGAGACCATCGCGGCAATGAGAAGGAACAGACCAAGCTCCCCATAGCTTCTTCCCCCCCCACCTTCCCACGACCGCGACCTCCAGATCGCCGACGACCGCGGCCTCGGGCAGCCCGCTGGGCAACTGCAAGCCGCCTTTGGCCATCACTGCTGGGGTCGCGTCCAGCGAGGAGAGGTGCCTGAGGCAACCCGGGTGCGGCCGAGCTGAGAGCGGTTCTTTCCCAAGATGTGCTTGTAACACATGTAAACTCTTGATGAATCACCCCTCTCCAGACATGGATTTGTAAAACCTGTTCATGTTTTTTTGCTTAATCTACCTTTTCATCCCTCAAGATTTCTTCCTGTCCATCACAACCTGCTTCCGCAAAAATCGAGGAACACCGACCTTCTCATGGCAATTCGGCACGACTCTTCACATCACATGACTCTTCCTGAAATATCATGGTTGGTTTCAACTCGCTTGAAGCATCAGTTATAATGATTGATTATATGCCAGCTTCTTCAGTTCGTGACCTTTTGTTCCTTTGCGTGACCCTCTTTCAGGAGGCTGGTTTGTGACGGAACCAACCAGGTGATCAAGTTCGGTCACGAACTGAAGAACCAGGTAAGTTGCCAAGTAAAGATTGAACATCAACACACAGCTGTGGGTCATGACACCAGTGGTTTTCGACCTGACCCTCCTGGTCTCGGTCAAACCCTCCTGGTCTCGGGCGAACATGGTGAGTGAATTGACCCATTCCCCACATTGTCTTGATGTGAATTTGGCACGTGTTCAGCGTCTTTGATTGTTTTTTTTCTTGGTGCTTTAAATGAAACCCATGGGGCCTCGGGCCAGGTCTAAGATGGTATAAGGCAAAGTGCATTTGTTTTATAGGGAATAGGTTGAATAGAGAAGATACCCAAATGTGCTGAAAGTATGTGTATATATATATATATCATTCTCATTGCGTTCGTGTTCCACCGACAATCATCACTTGCCACGAACGAACTATGACTTGAGAAGAGTTGCGTACCTACCTTGGTTGGTGAATAGAAAAGCATGGTGGATGGAGATCAGGTGATCAGTGAAATGTCATTGAACAAATGAAAAACGACTATATATATATATACTATATAATGTGTATATATATATATACACATAGCAGGACCACCCAAACCTGGAAGTACCTGATTACATGGGTGGCATGGCCCCACAAGATGCACCCTCTGAGGTGGTGAATGAAACCACGAAACCACGAGGAGGACCAATGCACCTTCTGAGCTTTGGTGGGACTGGGCTAGAGGAGGGTCCGAAGACCCGCCGAGGAGCTACGAAGTCCGCCCTGGATTGCCCCACAGAAATGCATCCAACATACCAAGAGGGTCCTTCAACCTCTGTTGGTGCAAAAAAACACGCTGCCCTCATGAGCGCTCCGAGATGGACCTTTAAAGGCACGAAAAATGGAGAATCCACAAGTAGTGTACCTGGTAGTCTATTGGAGGCCCCTTGTTGGAAGGTGCTGATTATTTGGATGACTTGGCCAACCAATCCCCCCTCTCCGGCCATCAGAGAGCCCTACTCCAGCTCCGCTGCAAAGTAGTCCCCCAGATCCGCTACCTGGCCAAACCGCAATGCGAGGCGGAACCGCCCAACTCCGTCTCCGTCTCGAAAGGTCTTTTGGGGCGATGCCGTGGAAGGGGAAGAGTAGAAGGGGTACCCTGGCAGCTACCTAAATGTTGTATCATATATTTACCTGCGTCTTCCAGTGGTAGTACTTATTTTGCCTTTAAGAAAATAAATGCCTTTGGAATCAAGAAGGATGAATTTTTGCCTAGAGGCAAGATTTGCAAAAAGCACATTTCAACCGGAATGTGACCACTGATGGCCCTTTTATTGGGTAGAATGATCCGATCCGATCCCATCCCTTCTTCGCCGCCTGCCAGGCTGCATCCAGCCACTCTGGTTCGACGTGATCCCAAATCCCACATGAGCTAATGTCAGGTTGAACAATCGCTGCTTCACTCCCAAGTTTCAAAGGGTGCTTGCAGCCATGCATCAACCAAACCACTACTACAGTGGTAATACGCACCGAACACTTCATAGGATATTGTAGGACCAGCTTTTTGAACAAAACAAAAACTCTATTGGCCGCCATGCGTGGTGAAGCAGCGACTCCATGAAGGTTGGGAGGCATGGGCTCTCACCTGATGCAAGCCTGCTTTTCTTCCCTCAAGCTGAAACCATGGAATGTCTTTGAGAGAATCATGTGGAGCAGATCTTTGCAAGCGCTTCTTTGAAACAATAATTCTAAAACTATTTGATATATGCTCCGCTCAAGATTCTCAAGTTCGCAAGCTACTACTCAACGGCTTGGCAGGTGTCTCCACTGGGTGCTATTCGTGATCATTCTTGTCATTCAGGCTAGCCTGGCCAAAGTTAGCATGTGCCAATGCAAACTATGCCCTGCAGTAGGCATGTTTCCTAACCTAAAGGCAAAATAAGTATACCACTGGAAGACGTGGGTGCATGTACCACCTTCTAAGACTGTGAGCTGCATGCCGATGACAAACAGCTTTGATTGCCGAAGCCGTTTTTCATCCATTGCAGCTCGATCAGCACTCAGCGAGCGACCTGCGGCTGGAGATGGAGACCATTGAAGAAGGACCCGTGACTCTAGCCGAGAAATGGGAGGCCAATCGCCATATCCGAAACCGGATCCGATCCAAGGGTATGCTCGTTGTGTGGCCTAAACCTGAGCTCGTTGGAAAGCCGACCATGGCTTCCATATCCTTGAACATCCACGCCCTTCGTATTTTGGCAGAGGATTGGTGCCCCAAGCAATCTGGGCCTAAGAGTCCTAGTGTTCATGCAGTGAGGAAGGAGGTGGGGAGTGCATGTGGCTCCATGGATTGGTTGCGCTTATTCGTATATTCATGTCACCATATTACATCAGCCGATTTGGGTCCATCATGGTCCATAATATTTTATCACTGGTTGATGTTGATTAATGTGAAAAATGTGTTGAAGGTTTAAGGGTTAGGGGCCAACATGCGCAACATGCCCCTGTTCAGGTCGCAGCTCTACGTGCAATCTTTCAGCTTCCAAACGACCCTGCAATTCTCCATGCAGATGCCTGGGGGTTGAAGAAGTTGTTCAGCTACGGGGTTCGGAGATCTGGAGCAGACAAAGAATCTTCCTCAAGCCCGATCCGACGAGAGCCTTAGCTCCTTTGTATGTGGTCTTTGTGTTTTTTTTGTCTTTTACATTCTTTTCAGTTTTGAAAATGGTGTCCAGGTTGGAAGTTGGCGTGCCCACTCCCAGGATGCTGCCGTGAACCCCTTCTATGAAGTGATCTATTCCTTTTGGAGTGTGAGGTTGAAGCCAGAACATGCCATTGAGATCTTCGTTGTGGACAGCGGTGACGAGGAGAGTGATTTCAGTGCTTTCATGACTGTGAAGTCGGATCCTTATGGCATGGCCAGTCCTGGGAAAAACTCAAAGGTGGGGAGTGTCAAACAAGCAAACATCGATCAACTTAACATGTTGAATTTTCTCTTGGGCTGGCTTCAAAGAAGCGTTTGCAGGGGATGGGCGGCCTTATGATGTGTTTGGCTGTGTGTTCATGGACACCTCACAAGGGACCCCTTCAACATGGCACCTCCCAAAAGTAATTATGTGCAAAACCTGTTGGGTTTTCAGGGCGTATGGTTCACAATGGCTAGGCGAAGTCCCCCATCAGGTGAAGAGCCAGCTGAAAGTGGAAGATGCCTCGCTCAACCATGATGATAGCGACTGCCAACTGGTCATGATGGAGCCAGTGAGTTCTCTTGAAACACCTCAGAAACAAGCAGAGGAAGGGCTGGCTCAACCGCCTGTGACTTCTGGGCTCTCAGTTGCTGAGATGATGGAGAGGGCAAAAAAAGTACGGTTTCTTGTTTGAGTCTCTTACAAGATTTTGCCTTTTGAGAACATAGAGAAAATAGTGGGCCGCATGTGGCATTGCCACTGGGGAAGTATTGAGCTGCAGGTGTCTTCTTGCCAAGAGGGCTGCTGCCAAAGCTGTGGGCGATACTGCCGACACACAGCCGCTGGATGCAGTGTCTTTCAAAGCTTTGGCGGAGTCATACCAGCCACCAGCACTGCCACCTGTCAAGCGCTTTGAGGAGACTGACGACCATGTGCTGCAACGCTCCTTGCAGACAGAGTTTGGGCGGGCTGATGCAGCAGGCTGGCTGGCTCAAATAGTCTTAAGTTTGTGCGTGGGGGGGCTCACGAGCGCATGGGTGTTTAAAACCAAAGGGGTGCACACAGTTTCATGGATGTTCAAATAGACCTCTGCCCTAGGCGAAGCTGAGCCTTTGCAAGGTGGCCATATGTCAGTTGCAGGGCGGATCATTGCTGGCCAGCCGCCGGTGGAATGTGAGCAACTTGATGAGAAGCCATCCATGGACATTGCGGAGAGCTTGCCTGCGCCTGGCTCTGACCTTGAGGATCCGTATGACTTCTTCAACAAGGATTCCGGACATGCTAGTAGTGAGGATTTGGAGAGCTCTGCTTCTGTTCAGGGCAATGCCGAGGCTGAAGTTCTTTCAATGTCAGCAGAGCCTGTGATTGGAAATGAAGTCTTTGATCCACTTGCCCATTCCCAGCCGGGTTCTACTGCCATTGTGGATGATGAACCATTGGCACCTTCTGCCATTGCTGAGGGCGAAGAACGTCATTCCGGTGCCCCACTCGAAGCCATTGCTGCTGACTCTGATGATGCAATGCCTTGTGCTGAGGTCCCTGACCCGTGTGAAGAACAGGAAGAAGCTTCAGTTTGTGCCAAGCAAGCCAGCTCTGGCCATGCTGGTGCGCCTTCCGCTGTCACTGAGTCTGAGGCTCCAAGCTCTTCAAAGGCTGAAGAGAGTGGTCAGTTTGGAGCAGAAGATGGTGAAGACCTTCCAGAACCCGAGCCAGTGAGCAGGAAAAGCCAATTCGAGTTGAAGAAGGAGGTAAAACCCAAGGCGAAAGCCAAGGCAAAGGCTAAGTCCAAAGCCAAGGCTCAGGCCAAGAGGGCATGCGCCAAGCGTCGTGGTCGACCAGGTCGAGGGCATGCGTGTGAGAAGGCGGATGCTGAGATGGTCAACCTGTGCTCTGATGCTGAGGATTTGGAGATCAAGGCCGAGGAGACCGAGGAGCAGGAGGAACAGCCCAAGGCCCCAAAGCCCAAGCGTCAGGCGAAGCGAAAGGCGGAGGCGCTTCCAGCGGTGGCAGAGGAGGACATGGATGATGACAAAGTTGTTTGGGGACCTGTTTCAACACAAGGTATAGAAGACTTTGAAAAACATTGGACGGCCCAGGACCAGAACATCAAGAAGCAGTCCACGGTTGACGCGGAGGACAGGGACAAGCGTGGTGGCATTGAGGAGCAATGTCAACAGCAAGAGCCAACTGGTGCTGATGCTGCGCCTCGGAACGCCTTGAAGAGCTTTGCGCGCCGCCCGTGCCCCAAAACATCGCCAGCAAAGGAGAGATGGCTTGCTGTTCGGGACGTGTTTGAGAGCGCTATCAAGCCAATTCTCGAGGAGGTGGGTTTCAAGACTTCTCCTGTAGAGGCAAGGTTTTGAAACTAGTGTTCTCCTTTCGGCGTGGCTGTTTGATAGGGGTTGTGATTACAATTTGTGGTCTTCGAATTTGCTTTGCTAGGTGAGCAGTTACCATAGCCAGTGTTATCCTTATAAGGTGTAGAGGTGTTCCATTCTAAACCATGCAAGGTTGAGTGGTGGGAGTGGTGCACCGCTGCCTTTGAAAAGGCCAACTACCAAAAGAACAAGGACCCATCAGGAGACTCGGATGCCCTGTTGGAGAAATTCAAAGGCATTACCAACGCTGAGCTCAAACCCTTCCTGGAAGAGGCTTGCTTGATAGAGATGTTGAACTGAATCTCTGGGTGTACAGATCGGCTGTAGCATGTGGCATTCTTACCATCTTTTTTGCACCATTAAACAAACACTGTAGTCTCAAAAAAGCTAGGCTGGGACCACCTTTTCACATACCCTCTATATGATGTATGTGCCGGTGGTATGAGTGTCTCACTGGAAGTGTGCGATCATTGAGGCATGGAGGGGCTGGAAAGACAGCGGATCCATGTGATCATTCAATTTGATTTTAGCTGCATGCATGTGTGTTACTTTGACGCATATGCTTGGCTAGGGCCGAGGGGGGAAATCAAGAGGTGGCGGATGGAGCATGAAGTCATCAAATCAAATTGTATTCTTCTTTGAGGGTCACCCAATGAAGTTCTACAGTGGCAGCACTGACAGGAAGAAAAACGAAACATAAAGAACAACCCGGACTGCAATTCACGGCTGCGAGTTGGGAGCGTTGTTAAACGGTTTCCCCATTTCTCAAGCGTAGGGCCCTACCATCCCAATCCTTCCCAGTCACCCCGACAATTGCCTGGGCCAGGCGATGGCGCCAAAGCTGTATGGCTTGCGGAGGGGCTGCATCAACCTAGCAAAGTTTGGTGTGCACAGAGAGTTGGCAAGTAGCGCTGGCCTGTTAGGGTTTGGGAGTTCTTGTGAGGAGACCCTGAGGCCCTTAGGTCACTAGTCACTAGAGACATCAACTGTAGA